ACATAAAATAATTTCTACATACTTAATAAACAACATATCAGAACTATTGCGATTCAGTCACTTATCGATAGGACTGTCAAATATATCGTCACGACACTATTGTCGATAGTTTTTAATAGTGTTAATATAATAGCGACTAATTCGAAAACCTTAAAGCAGATGTTACTAGTGACTAGTTAGGTTGGTGATCTTGTCAGCTGTAATTTAGTTATTTTTCAGATAAGATTATTTTACACGAAAGATTATTTGATCATGCGATGTCGCTTATAAATTTAAAAAAAAAAACGTTAGCTTATATCTTAATATGTTGTAGATAGATTTCAAAATCAATAGTGGAAATTTGACATATTATGGTCACTATACATACAGCCGTGTGTGCACCTTAGGCTGCTTTTGTCTCAATTTTTTTTAGATTAATATTAAGATGGCATTTTATATATTTAACGACCCAACAATCATATTTTTTTCACCTTTTTGCAACAAAATAACATGGTTATAGTATTTAATGATTTTCTATATTTATTTGAGGTTTGGCTCCAACTTAAATAGCCTTACCTTGAGGGAGCAAAAGCGGACATTGCTGCGATTATTGTCCTTTAATCGTTGTTCTAATACATAGGACTGTAATTCAAATGTATTTCAGTTATTTATTTGCCACTCGAGCTTTAAAAAATAAGGACATTCTTAACTAGTACTACAAGTTACTCGAATCGAATAAATTGATCGATTATATCGATAACTTAAATTTTATCGATTAATATTTTTCGTAAATCCTATCGATAAGTGAATGCATTGAAAATCATTTCATCACATCTCACCTATAGCTACATTGCTCTCATCCAATGGGAATCTGAACAATACAACCACCCACTCCAGAGATAATGCAGAAAAGTTATTTTTTCTACATTTCCAGGGAAATAATTTATATATTCTCTAATTTACTAATATGGTGATATATAAAACATTCTGTTTCAAATCAACTAAAAAGCTTGATGTATCAAATTTCCTTTTAAAGTTGACTATACATATATGTAACAAAAGCTGCATCGATATTTTAATACTCGATAGAAAAACTCGATAGTATCAATCCATCACTTATTAACAATAAACAGTCTTAAATTTCAAACTAAATATTAAATTAGGCCCATTTATTAATAAACTTCTATCAAGTTATTAAAGAAGAATAACGGGAAAGATTTAATGAAATATAAGAGAATTACTACAAATGAATCAAAAGGCCTAATGGATGAATGTAACGAATCATTCGAAACTTTCAAATTAATTTCCATTCCAAATCCTAAAATCAGCAATAGTTTACCTCGATCTTCCCTTATACAAATATCATTTAATATTTCTTATTAATTAGTTAATTTACCCAAAAGAAAATTATTTTCCTTTATTTTCATTAAACTATATGATGTTTAATGTTTAAACACTTTGAAATTATTCAGCAAAACAGGGAATTCTATATCGAATTCTTTTGTGTAAGCTCGTGTCACCGTAGATCTCGTTTATATCTCATTGGGCTAGATTGAGGTCAAAAGGAGCCCACCATAAATAAAAAAAATTAGATGATTTTCCCAAATTAAAAGTTACTTTAAGTTGAGATCGATTAAAGAATAGGAATCCAGAAAATCTTTCGGGTTCGGGCCTAAAACATTTACCTTTTTATTACATAAAAACCTCTTTTCGCATTACCTTTGCATTATTGCCTATACCAACTAGACATTGATTTTGTAACTAAACTTCATACACTTTCGACCTATCCCCACCTACTGCCTGAATCTAAGAACAAATTATCAGAAACAACTGTCAAACATGAGTGGTTCTCTCACAGTTAGTGCCCCAAGAAGCCAACAGAAGCTGTGCGCCGTAGTCACTACACACTACTGCCGATGCCGCCGAGCCGGCCACACTGTCGAGCGATACTTCAAGCAAACGGAGTTAAAGAGGACAGCCATTTGCTACAACTATATATCAACATTAAAATGTGACGCATTAAAGGGGATTGCAGGAATCCATTGTGAAATTAAGATATCTAGTAATTTCCATAGCCAGTTTTTAAATTAATAACTGCCACTCTACACGTGTTTAGCCCCTTCTTTAACGGAGCATCCTCTGAATCCACTAAATGATATTTTCAACGATCCAAGATTTTTTTATTAATGTTGATATATTGTATTACAAAGGCTATCGTCTTCCACCACCTATAACTATATTGTCTAAAATTCAATTATTATCTAAGGCTAATCAAATACTTACTGTATACTTAAGTAGCTTAGAATCCAAATTGCGGCGCATTTAAATTAGCCAGATAATAATAATTGAATACACAAAGATCTTATGAGGGCGTCATCAAAGTCTATTATGATCACTACACTTTTATCGCTATTTATTGTGACGTCACGTAACACCCACATAAAAAAACTTTGCACCGGTATTTGTTAACGAATTTCAATTCCAATACTCAGATTATTCCAGAATTCCCTTCCCGTATATTAATTGCACTGTCTGTATTCTGCTAATGGTAATAATCGTATCTGAATAGAAACTCAAGTATTTGCTTTTTGCCATTGTACTGTTCACCTGAAGTCTAATTTTATTAGTGTTGTCTTGTTCATAAATCAATAGTGACAGATATATAATAATATTGCACTTCAGGTTTATATTATAATACCAAAATGGATGTAGGTTAGATCCTATTGAGATGCGATTATTTCGTAAACATTAGGCAGAATTGGCTTACTGTGTGATTGATCAAGTCAATAAAAAAAAAGTATAATGACACGACACGTGAGAATTATTTCACTTCTTGTCGACAAAATCAATGCAATTCCATAGACACTACACTTGTTAATAATTTTAAATCTGCGAAACAGAATGGGAACATATTACGTTTAGTTTTCCCGACATTTTTAACAATACTTTTATTAATTTTCCACTTACATCTCCATCTCATAAATCAATCTGTCTATTAGTAAAAAGTGGACAAAAATCCACCAGAAAGCATTCGGATACACCACATAAGGTATGTTTTACATATTATTTAACAATATTTAATTATAGTTATTTAGTAATAATTCGCTAGTTAAATTCAATTGATTATCTTATGATTTCCATGTTATACTATTACATTTTAGAAAATTAATAAATTCAATTATACATTATTTATGTATAATACAAAGCTGGGAGCGCGCCACATAACTTATTTCCAAAAATTTGCACTGGATTGTGTTTGTGTGCAGAAATTTCTAGAATCATAAATTTATTGTATGATAGTAAAATAATGAAATTCGTTAACAGATGTGAATCATTTACAGAGGTATTTTACAGGCGAGGTATACCAAAATAATTCCTAGTCATAAAAACGAGGAACAGTATACAAAAGTAAAAGTATATCAAAAAGATTTTGTGTCCCATATCAGTCATGTTATTTGTGCAAATCTATAAACAGTAGACATTAAATAACAAAATTACGCCTTGAAGTGTCGCTCAAAAGTACATAGCCGTGTAGCCTCCGACAGACATATAAACAAGTGTATAAACCATATTATTTTCTAATTTTATTAAATGGACCAATCATGGCAGTGAATGTAGAATCAGTGCTGTCATTGGTCGATTTCTCCCACTCTTATATGTCTAGCAGACGCTAGTTTAAGAACTGAGGTGGTGTTTTCCGATTAAGGTACGACGTGGACTCTAAATAGTTTTATAAATACTTGAAAATTGAGTGCTACTTTTGGTCAATCTCAAGAAATATATCTATACAAAGTTCTCTCAAAATTTCAAGGACTATTAGTTATAAAAACCGCTCATTAATAGTTTAATAATTATTCAAAATATGATGATAATTATTCAAAATATATTTAATGAGATTGCCAAAATTAAATAGTTTTCCGAAACCATAAAAACATCACCCCTGATCTTGAGATTGCGACCGATCTTAATAATAATTTTATACCCCATTCCTTCATAGAATTAGCGACTCGTAAAAATGCTTCACTAACACTATTTTTAATTTGATATATCGTTATATATATTTAATAAGTTATTAAATGAACAAAGATTATTTTAGAATATTTTTATTTAATGTTTCGTTATAACAGTTTTCGTCCTAACATTCGTTTACACAGAGACGTAATCGCTCGTTCTACGACGGATTCCTGCGAGTGCCTACTACGAGCTACGCTGATATGGTCTCAGTCTCAAGACAGTCCCTACGTCTGGTCTATGTTACACTCTCCCTATACGAGCTACTGACTTGAGTTCACTACCGACACTCACAATGGAATTGAATTCACCTCGATTAGAGTGTGAAGTACAAATGTATAAATGTTTTATATAAAAGATCGAAAATGCAGTTGCACAACTACTTTTCGAAAAAAGAGAGCTCGAAACCAGTTTTAACAGTAAAACATTATTGTCACCATGGTCGCTAAATCAATATATTATTAATGTTAGAAACGGTACCTATTATTGGGATTTTTAAGATGTTGAGCTATCAAATATTAAGTCTCGCAATTTGTAAAACGAAGAATAAAAATAGATATGTAAGCTCAAAATCAGCTTACCTTGTTATTTGGAACCATTTGAGTATCAATGAAAGAATAAATAAATAAATCGTCGGAGGTGTCGATAGCGTCCACAAGTCTCTGATATGTGGGATGATGTGTGTAGCGCCGCGGCCGCCCGCCGTGGCCCACCCGAGGGTACAAAACTGGGCGTACCTACTATACGTATATTATATACAATGTACAATACAATATTCATTAACACTATCGTGGCTACAGGGCGAGCCTCGGGCGGGCGGCGAGGCGTGCGCCTCGCGCGTCAGCAGGTATACATTCACACAATAATATACATCATAACTCGCTCTATATATAACAATTACACGAGCGCGCACCACGCTCGCAGTAAATAACATAATATACAGCGGAATCGTAGCACTCTTTCGATTCGTTTAAAAAAATTGACTAGAAAATCTCAATTCACTATGAGCACTATGTGTGCGTGGAGGGCGAGGAGAATATGTCGGCGGCTCGCCAAGCCTCCGCCTCCTCCTCCGCGTCGTACTGCTGCAGGAACGGGTTGGTAGAATTGTAGCGTGGACTTAGCGCACCCGACGAGTTGAGAGTGACCGCTAGTCCGGCCGAGGTGCCGGGGATGGCGGTACGGGGCGAGTCGCGCGGCGTCAACTCTCGCGGGCTGGACTCACGCGGCGTCATTTCTCTAGGTGTGGACTCACGGGTGGTGTTCTCCCGCGGTGTGGACTCACGGGGTGTGTGCGAGCGCGGCGAGTCTCGCGGTGAATGCCGCGGGGAGTGGCGCGGAGAGCCGTTCCGTGACGCGGTACGCGGTGACGCGGCTCGGTCCGGCTGACGCAGTATGGAGGACACCGAGCCGGTATGTTTGATGGTATCGGCGGGGCTGTGGCTCCCCGAGCTACTGCTGGGCGAGCCTGGCGAGGAGACCGTCACTTGACGGGAGCGAGGAGGAGCGGGCAGTGGCCCGCGGAGAGGCGACTGCGGACGATATGGGCCTCCCCTGACTGATGAGAGAACCTAAACATACAACAACAACCTTGTAATTCTTAAAATACATGTGCTTATTCAGAAGATTAAAAAATCTTTATATTTTTTAGACACAAAAATTAAATAAATACCAATTGATACTTACATGTGCGGGCGGCGAGCGGTCTGGCACGGGCCGACCCGAGAGAGCTGGCGGCGGAGATGCTGCTAATGCTGCCACTTGAGGCCGATATGGACTGACTGAGGGCGGAACTCGGCCTGCACATACAAAATTTTCAAACTTTCTACTATTGAATTCAAGTATTGAATTCAATTTTCAAGTAAAGTTTTTCAATAAATTATTTAGCAGCACGAAAGCGTAATATTATATTTTTTTGGTCACCCATCTTATATAATAATCTTTATTTCAAAAATTTGACTAAATCTTATGACAGGCCCTTGCAAAATTTGCTTAACTTTCGCATCGTGGACCAAGCGTGCTAACCAGTGATATCGTGTGCCACAAATTTAACGCAATATCACTTTATATTAGTATACCTTGGGGGAGGGTGGCTGAGGCCACTGGCGACGCACTGACTTTGCTTCCACGCGGCCCGATTGCTGGCTCGCCGCGCCGAACTGTCTACAAACATACATGCGTTAAGGTACCGCTTAGCCATTATAAACATCAACTCTTTTTCTACAGCTCTAACGACTACTAGGACATACCAACTAAATAATAAAAAAAAACAATAATATTGAAATATCATTAAGCCCGACTAAAGCGTCTAAATGCGGAAAATTAGAGCCCACCCCATTACAGCCTACCCAAATTACAATTAGAATGGATTAGCAAAGATTCAGCAATATTTAATGATATAATGATTTTATCTCAAAGAATAAGATGACTGTTGTTAGCTTCTCTCCTGCGTACAGGGTAACATAAAATCCATTTAGATACAACTTTAATTGACTTTTATGACTTTGCTTCGTTACCGCTAACAAGGAACGTCTGCACATGTTACACTTACGCCGATCCATTATAATTTTACAAGAGCGCAAACGAGAAAATGACGTCACCTTATAGGCAGATACATTATTTTATCCGGTTCGAGTAATTACTGTTACTCTATGATACAACTTCCATTGAAAAACCCTTGTCCGTTTTGTTTTCGAATCCATATAAATATGTGAAGTTACATATAAACAGTATTACCAATAGCATATCAATTCACTGCGACAAACTTCGAAAACTTTCATGTCATAAAACTAATAAACATTTTGAATTATATAAATTTCTATGAATTTCCAAAGTTAAATAAAACACAAAGCATTCTAATCACAAGATGAGAGATGATATTACCTGAACGTTTAGGTGCAGGCCAAATCTGTAGTAAACATTGCAGAACATGTATTGGCCTCTGGTAATCTAAATCAGTCGGTGGCTGGGAGTGCAACATCAGCGGCGGCGCTAACGCAACAGCGAGATGTTGCGGCGACATTTTGTTGCGGTCTTGTGCAGCGACAACTAACGCTAAATGTTCGAGAAGGAAGACGAGTGTTGCGCGAGCGGCGCGAGGCAGACATTCCACTATGGATGCCATCAGTCGTGCGTTGCCTTCTCTATCGTCAGGGAGACAAACTCCTGAAAAGAACAATTACATTTAAAATATCTACACTACACCTACTATAAATAATACCCAGCATTTACTTCGATATGGAGTAATTAGAGTTTAATAATTCACTACCGAAGCATTAAAAGCATCGCAACTTGGAACCGAAGTCTGGTAAAAATGTTTATTGAGATTTCAAGACAAACTATTTACGACTTTTTGCTCTGATCTTATTATACACAAAACTGAAAATCAGTAAGATCTAACAACATAATTTACCTAGAGCATCCAACGTCATTTGGTATAGACAACGGCTGAACAACGGTTGCGGCAACTCTCTCAGATAATCTTTCAACAGCCCGGTTATCACGTTAATATCAGGCACCGAGTCAGGAGTCAATTCCACGCCTCGCGCGTTCCTTTCGAACGCTTCGCGTAGTATACGCTTTTTACTTGCGGAGCCACACAATCGGTAAAGACCTGTGAGATAAATGAAAGACATTATATATGCTTTTTAATGCTTTTTCTGTCTGTAATTTAATTAAAAATATTATAAGAACCACTTTATTAATAATTTCAGTTAATTACCATGGTCGGTCGTGTTGAGCGACGAAGAAATTGATAAGGAAAGTTACTGAAAATTATGAAGCTACAGCCCATATCTATATAAATATATGATAAGAATAGAATACATGGATATAATATATGAGAATGTAAGGAAAGGAAAGCCGAAAAATTATGGAAAGGCCGTGATAAAGATTATATGGGTGAGAAAGGAGGACAAAAGAATAAATATGTCGCCTTAAAAAAAAATTGAAATAAAGACAATCAAATAATGCGATAAAAATACACGCGAAAAAGGAATAAATGAGTACCAGATGACAAACATCCTGTTTCTAAGTGAAATCAGCAGAAAAGTAACTCACCAATTATATCCAACCCTCGCCTTTCGATTTCTTCGACACACCGTCGCACTATTAACGGCACTGGTGGTGCGTGGGGTGGTCGAACTTCTCTCGCTACGACAGTATCAAGTTCAGCACCGAATAATGGCGGAGGAGATATTCGAGTTGGCGCTGGCCGCCTTCGGAATAACTCGTGTGGTTCCGTGTGACGAAAACGTACGTAAAGAGTGCCCCGAGGTTCCATCTAGCGAGAAAAGGGAGTTTAGTGATTTTTTATGGTTTTCTGAGAAATTATGACAAGTAGATGAAAAGGAAATTCATATTCAAGATAATTAATAATTAACAGAAGCATACTACTTCTCGTATACATCATAATATTTTAATACTGTGTAATAATTTATTCATGTTCATTTAACTCTGGATTTGTTTTTTTTTTTAAGCATTTGAAGTTTTTAAATTATAATACATAATTCAGCAAAACAATAAAATTTATAAAAATAATATATCATTTACTTTAATAGCGAGCTGGTGTGACGAAGAACGCGAAAGTAGATCTGGCAAGGTAACAGCGCCTCGGTAACACAATTTATGTCGATGTTGTGGATCCCAAGAGTAAACCAGCACATCCAATTGCCTGTTGTCGACCAGCTCCAGCTCAAATGATTCGTCCCAATCAAATTGTAACTCTCCCGTGCGAACCTATTCACAGACAAACGCAATAACCCTACAAATATTTTCACATGAGAAATGAGAATAGCGCTAATATTGTATTCGGCCTTTATAGATTAGTGTGTACTATTTTTTTGTAAAATTCTAATCAAATCGGACTTGCTATTATCATCTGTTATCATCTGATGTGCTTATTAACTTAAGTATAGACGTGCAAATTCAATGTATTAATTGTTATTTATATTAATTTAATAATACCTATAACATTCTAATAATACAATAATATTGCCAACTCACCACAGTCCGAGCTTTATGCACCCGATCACATTCCAAGACACAATATAAGTCTCTCGGCGTTACCGGTGCCTGCGCAGGTGCCAGCGGTCCAGAAGGTGGAGACCCCGGAGACGAACCCGATGGCGCCGGCCGGAGCCCCCGCCCCGCTAGCAGGTGAACCCACAACAGCCCCGATACTCCGCCAGATAGACGAGACAATCCAGTCATGGACGCAGATAGACCTCCCGTGCTCGGCTTCTCCACTTTATACTTTAGGAATTCTGGAATTATTTCTTTTTCGTTGTAGCACTGATATTCAATTAAATAATAAAAAAAAATCAAGTTCATGATGATAAGACACAAAAAAAATGCAAAAACAAAAATTTACTTTTGAAAAAGGGTAAAAATTGTTTTTACCATTGGGATTGATGTCCAAATGCCGCTGATGTCTCGAACTTGGTGTAGGCACGGGGCTTGGATTCGGACAGTTGAATCTCGATCCCAACTCTAGTAATTGCCTCACGCGGCGAGCAGACGGGGATCCTCCGGCTGTCGGCCCGAGTTGTTGGGAAGAAAGTGAACGAGCCGGTAAATGCCTCGGCCGCTCGATTCGACGATTTGCTAGTCCTAACGATGAGCCAAAGCGACTACCACTTTCCATCTGTATAATCAGTAAAATTGATGCAATATCAATTTAAAAACCAAAAAAGAAAAAAAAAGAAATGGAGGCCTTATCATTAAATACTATTTTACCTTATCATTAAATAATATTATTTTTTATCTCTTCCATCTTATTATACTCACATTTTTAAGTGCGTCATGAATGTTTTCTGCTGAATAATGCGTTGGTAAACGAGGACGAAGAGTCTCATAGAGAGCACTTGTTGAAGGAGCACGTGACAACCACGCACGATACTCGTCTGATGTAAATACTGAAGGTGAAGATGTGAGTCGACCTAATACAAACAAATAAGAAGTCAGTTAAAAGTATATAAATCAATAGTATAGTAAAAATAAAAATAAATAACGACTAACCTCTGGAAGACCGCAAGTCTAATCGTGACGATAACGGTTCTGGTTCATCTTGCAGAACGCTTCCAGCACGCCTACTCAAACCCAATCTAATAAAAATACATTACCGTTAAACAAGAATCTAAATAAAACAAATTTTAATTCCAATTTTAATATAGAAGTGTTACCTTTGCCCAGTATTTCTCACGTCTCTAGGAAGTGAATTAAACTTTGAGCCTATATCTCTGCCTAGGGTACTACTTCTGTAACCACTCAATCCTGAGTAGTAAGGAGTTCGTGTTGGAGCTGTAGCTTCTGTATCTGACGAATAGTCCAAGCTTCGGTTTCGTCTCGAGGTACCGAATTTCGTACTATACGAAGGTAGCCCTAACCCAGTTGTACCGTAACCTCCGCTAAGCGAGGGCCCTAAACCAGTACCGCTTAATCCACTTCCTAATCCAGAACTAGTTAGCCCAGAGCCAACCAGGCTTGAACTCGTTAAACCACTGAGTCCTGTGGAGGAAAGTCCTGAAGGTAACCCGGGTCCTCCTAATCCGGTTCCACCCAATCCACTACTCGTAAGTCCACTTCCCGATAGGCCAGTTCCAGGCATTCCGACCCCACCAAAACGTTGATTATATCTTGATAAGCTGGCTGTTGAGAACGAAATATAATCTTTAATTACTATCAATGAATATATGTATATATAATTAAAATAGGTAAGATTGTGTAAATTACCTCCGCTTCCAGCTGCGGCGGATGCTTTTAAGCTAGATCTTAATAATGAGTGTCTACCAAAATCGGAATGTGTCTCAGCTCTTGGAAGCTGTTGTTCAGATCCAGAACGAGGAACGCGTCCGCCGAAACGAGTACTATATGAATTAACAAACGTATCAATTAAGACCATTCATTTATATACACTGTGATAGTTAGGAATTTCAGTATTTATTAGAATCTATTCTTATTGCCATACTAGAAAGTAATTTAATTATACCGTATGTCCTATAATATACATATTAGGCAACATCACATAATTTTATTAATGAAAGTCGAAACAACGAACGTGTGGTACATTCGGTTTAATATCTGTGGTTTGATTATCAATTAAAATGAAAAATACAAAACATTGCTTATTTAAGTCTTATTCTCAACATATTTAAATAATACTAAAAAAAGACAAGTTCATGCACTCAATCAATAAGTAATAATGACAAATAAAATACCTTCCACTGTCAGCAGGGTATAAAGAGTGAACCTTCTCCGCCAAACTCTCCAACGTGTTCGGGTAAGAGCGTTCATACGGTACAAAGTGAGTAGCTTGTGATTTTGGTTGTTCTGTTATTACCGGAGGCGGTGGCCGATAACTACAACAACAAAACGTTAACTAAGAAAACTGGTGCGTTCATAATAAACCTTGTTTTGAATCAAAAACTGAGCAAACCACAAGAGCAACATTTAAATAGAACTATGTAAATATTAGTGATTTATTTTCAAATTCTCGTGGCTCTAAGAATCGACTTTTTTGCGGTATTTATAATATAAACAACTAATACCTTCTAAAGTAGCAGATAATAAGCTAATACTTCTAATGGAAAAAAGTCATACTTTGTCTGTGTGTACCTCCAAGTGGAGTGATCCGATGGGGGGCGATGGTTATAGTATAGATCAAGTGCATTTGAATCTGGTGATAAAGCCCCAAGCTGTAGTCGGCTTCGTTCCTCCCTTCCGTCGCCCACTGGTCTTACGCTCGACCCTGGTCCCCCGCCAGATCTGAGCGTTCCATGCCTAAAACATATAATTCTTACAACAAAGTAGAAAGGCGATTCATCTGTAAATTTTCAAACAGGCGCTATAAACTACTTTTAAGGACTAATCGTTAACGGTTTTTTCAATCATTTCAATATTATCAATGTATTAGTTTATAATTTTTAATACTTTTAGTATTATTCTATGAAATTAAAATCAATAATTATAATTTAATACCTTATTGGTTATGACCTGTTTCTCGTAGTAGATAGATTAATTCCACTTACGCTGGTTAGCATTCAATTATAAGATTTTTTTTTCCTTTCCTTAATTATTGTAATTAGGAATAATTATTTTTCCCACTTACTGTGAATAGAGTCCGTCCACTCTATCCCTGTCCCTGTCCCTCATGTCACGCATATCGTCATCATCCCGACAGTCCCTCTTCAGCACAACTACTGGTGGAGGTTTGTGTTCCGTCCTCGGCAGTGATGGAGAACCGGGACCAGATTTACCTATTTAAGCACATTTTCTTCAGTGACAAAATGATCTATTTCTGTAGAATTAAAGTCAAAATAGAATATTTAATTTCTAAGAATATAGCGAAGTTAATCCGTTAATTGAAGCCTAATGTACTCTTAAACATGGTAATATGAGCATTTCTCATTTTTTGTGTCACTGTTTTATATAATCGGTTAAAGTTCAATATATTACATATTTTTATAAAATCACATAGCTTTTTTCATTGATATATGTGGTTTTCATAATAAAATTAATTTATGTCGAATTTCAATGATAAACATATAAAAAAAAAGGCAAGTGAGAATAAAATAAAGTTTCATATTTTGTTATTTCTCATTTCTTTATTTTTAGCCTTGAGCACGTAAATTATATGCATAGATAAATACTTTCATAAACTATATGTCCAACTTTATGATATATTTGCGAATAAAGACCAAAATCAGTAGAGAATTGGTTCCAAATTTGATGTTCTTTTTTGTGACCTTAGTCCGAAGGTAGACTTTAAGTTTAGATTTTATAATAAAAATACAAATTAAGAAGTTCTTACTTACTTTTTATTACATTTTTCAGTATCTTTAAGATATAAAACAAGTTTTAATTTTATTTATTAATAAAATATTACATAAAAGGGAAACTGCGAAAGATAATATTTTTGGGACAATGACGAAACAGGTATCATCGGTAACAAAATAATAAATCTAAGGCTTGGTGTACATAATGTATTAAACTGTCTCAATCTATCATATTCGGCAAATTTTTACACTATGCTAACTTCTTGTTTTTGTTTAGTCTAACTCAATAAACATTGTAAGTAAAAACTATAAAATAAAATGTTTATTTATATAATAAATACAAGACCACGTTAATGGCTTCAGTGGCTTTGGTTTAATCTCATTTTAATCGAATTTACATTAATATTTAATTTTAAATTATTCTAAATTATAGAGTAATCAACTGTGTATGTAAGTTAGTTTTTGTGTTAGCTACAGTTGAAGTATACTAGTTAGAAATACAGTTGAAGTATACGATAACGTTAATACTAACATAGCTTTGGTGATTTTGTTTTGAAGTCTCATTTGTTAAATATAAACTTACAACATTAGTTTAAATAAATAAAAAATAGTTTTCAATAAACCTTTCGGTTGAATAGAATAACTCTTTATTTTCAATTTACATACAAATATTAATATTACAGTGTAACAATTGGCGGTCTTATCGCTTAGAGCGATCTCTACCAGACAACCTTTGGATGGAGAGAACTATATGACAATCAGGAAACGGGTGAATCACCTACAAACATAATATTAATGAAAATGCTTATTTTAAACTGAAACCAGCATCATAAAAAACAAACAATCAAACTGAACTAAGACATTTATATTATTATTATTTGCATGAGATCATTAAAGTTATGGCACTTGCATTCATCATCAGGATTTATACGATGACATATTAGCATATTTTGCACCTAAAATCAATCCTTTTCATCAAATATTTCATACTATCCCTATTCATGGTTAGTATAAAATGTGATGGAAATACACTTAACGCGTTTCCTGTAATACTTCCACAACCGAAACACATGACAAAACAAAATAAGTTGACAACCAGGGCCTTATAACATTTTTCTTAAGAAATGTATATAAATCATTCTCATCAATCACTTTGTCAATATCGAGATATTTCAAACTTTCTTACCAAATCCTGAAAAAAAAACAACATACACTAAAACTTCCGATGATAGTTACTTAACTGCCTTAATCAGAGTGATCTTCTCCAAAATAAAAATTACATATTTTCTTTTAATTTTTCTTTAAAACACTTCATCTTTTCTGCCGCTGTTAGTGGCATTTTCTTACGCTGTTCAATGCAAACGTAGCTTTATAATTTCTAATTTTGTTACTAGGATTTCCGCTTATACATTACCACGCCAAAGTAATAAAAAAAAGTAACGAAAAACATGCATAATAATAAATCCAATCGTAGTTAATGCTATCAACTATTATGAAATGATTAAAAAAAAGTATTAACATGGTCAACTTACCTTAAGACAGCACTAACAAACACCGGATTCTCATTCACTGTAGAGTGAATACGTGATACGTGTTTAAAAACGAATTTCTGAATGGCTAATAACCACAAACCAACATGTTGGCATAAATAGGCACCTGCAGTGTAGTATTAGCCAAAATGGATAACAAAAAAAGGAGTTTCGTTTTGAAACTTCTTCTGGGACGGATTGTAATTAATTATATTACCGTTTATGTTATAAACAATTTGCTAAAAAGGCAATGTATATTATTATATTTAAATATTCTTAATGAAAAATGCTTAAAAATTCACTTGGTCCCTGACACCCTGAGATGGTATTCGAACCCATTACCTTTCGCAATCCGGGCGATTACTCTAACCATTGAGCTACCCACGACCTAATAGGACTGACGAATCTTTCAAGCTTTTTACTTTTTCACTACTACAGAGCGCTTTCTCATCAATATTCAGGCACCCGAACAGCCGAAAGAGATATTTTAAAAAATATTTAAACTTTCGACAAAAAAGAAAATTTCTTCTTCAATATTTGATAAATTTCTTTTATATTTGAAAAATATTATTAGTGAACAATGCTTAAAAAAAATATAATGTTTATTGATATTTAGCCAAACGATTTAAAGCAAAATCATGGTATAAGTTCTTTGAATTTATAAAAATAATCGGGTATGAAATAACGAATGGTAAAGTGAGATATGCGAGTTTGCATACATGGAAATTTACTATATAGGGGAAGATTGGGACCATTCGTACACGGGGAACCTTCATACAGTCACTACTACATCTTGTAGAAAAGCCTATTTATTACAGCTTTGTGTCAGTGGATAGGCGCCGGTGACTGCCAGTTGTCCGCGTAATTAGCCACACATCCAACCACTGCTAGCAAAACTAGAGAATTTAAAGTGTTTTGGCATGCTCATAGTAAATATTTTGTTAATATTTCTGGATCTTCCGTACTTTAATTAATTTTCATGTATGCAAATTCATTGATTTTTTGTTAAATTTTAATTGTAATTATGGTATATAAAATTTTATAATGTAAAAATATAATATTACTATTCTTTTAACCTAAACAGTTTTAGGAATTTATTTCTTTAAAAAAATTCATCGTTAATCTTATGGGATATCTACAAACGTATGTTTGACACAAAAAATGAGAAATGCTAATATAATTCTTGATTTCAGTAAATAAAAACGGCTTTACTTTTTGTATAGATTGAAATCTTGCCTTGAGCTTTGGAACGCAACGCAATCGCATAGATCGAAGCAAGATTCTACGCATACGTATACGCAGAGTCTCTTTTAACGACATTGGCATCGCATTTAAAGTCATGACTAAGTATATATATATCTATACATATATGTATTTGATTTACCTTTTCTTTGCCTTGTGCACAGCAGTAACCTCCTTGGTATCGACATAATGATTACCACATCGTCCAGCGACATCCTTCTCACGTCGACCAAGTTGACTGCCAGGATCTCGTCACCCACCTAAACAAAAAAATTTAAATATCATGATTAAACGTAACAGACTTTTCCTCATTTTCTATCAATACTATAGTGTAAGAAATATTATAATAAGTTATCAAAAGACAATAGTATCATATGTGAAACCCTATCAGTATAACATAGAATAACACATGATTAATAAGAAACACATAGGATTTCTATGGTTCACGTGGTAACTAAAATGGCCTTAGCTATATTTTAAGACGTTTTGCATTGGATTCGTGTGATGAAATACAATACCATAAAACCTCCATGTCAATTTTTATAGGAAAGTCCAGTGCCCCAAAACAGGAAATTATATTTTTTTTGTTAAATTACCTTCAGACATCCACTATTGTAGACGGCGGACTCCAATGCGATACGCGAAATAAACACACCGTCTGTCCGCGCGCCTCCATCACCTTCCCTGATATATAAACCCAATGTCTGTCCGGGACGTTTAACTATTTCCACCAGTTGAACTACGTGGCGTGCGTCCTGTAAATTAATATTTTTAATTTAATAATCTTGACTCTTTTTTCCACAGAATATAGCTGAAACACTTCTGTTTTGGGAAGATGATATTGATGAATTTACCTAACAAGGTAAGCATAGAGAATTGAGAGTTGCAAATCACGTAGAGCGTAAAAGTTTTATGAGTAAGCCAGTAACAATAGAGGCGGAGAGATTTTTTTTTTCTAATAATACCTGACTACATGTGTAAATTAATTTAGTTTAATTAATTGACGGCAATATAAATGTATGTCCATCTTGCTCTTGCCTAGCGTCAGAAAATTTAGTTTATTCTAGCTAAACTAAAATACGTTATATATTTAATATTATGCTAATGAAAGCAAATCTGTTGGTTTATTATAGATTGAGATCTGAGGAATACAGTACAATACTTTTTTCTAGGATAAAAATAATCATTATAAAAGCAGACAAAGCTGCAAAGCTAGTTCTTAATAAAAGTAAACTACTCTCGACCATTCTGAAACTAAATATATGCACAGTGTACAATTCGAATCGGTCTCGGTGACACAAATAATAGGATTCTAGCTAGCAATATCAAACAGTGAAGCGGCCACCGCAACCCAACAAATGTTAGACTAGATTGCGTTCACATTCTACGCGATATAGGACGGCCCCAAGCGAACAATGGGGTTCACGAGTATCTTTCAGGCCCCATACTAGGTTACGAGTTTTATCCAGGTCAATGGAGCGAGGGGAATTACCTGTTTTAAGAGCAACGCAACATATTTATCTGATGCATTTTCTTTGCTCTCGTTTTCTAGTACAAAAGGGCAAGTCAAGTTATAATATCGGATGTTTGATTATCTGATCTGATTGACTAAGAGACAATGCGCTCCACATACCATACGTTACGTAGTAAATTAAATGACTAAGCTTATATCTGAGTTTCGTACAAAAAGGGTGAAAAAGGACGCTATTACTGAGGTAAAGGATTGAAATTTTCAAAGATTATGTATTTCTGTTGCCGTTACAAAAACAAAAATTACTAAAAATAAATATTTATGGTAAGTCTCCCATACAACAACATTATTTAAAAAAAATATATATTAACTAATGGTTTTAGTCATACCATTCCAGCAACGCTATTCTGTAAAAACTTCAGCGTTAAAGTCAACGTGGATCACACAGTATAGAGGTTCAATCAATAAAACCTACCTATATTTAAAAAGTAATAAAGACTATAATTCATTGAACCTATATACTGATAGCTATGCTGGACGTCGAATTCAAAGCTGTTTTATTACAGAATAGCATTCGTCTCTGCCTACACCGCAATGTGATGCAAATCTTGAGATAGAAAAAGAAAATAACAGCAGTAATTGTGTTTATATCTAACTACGAGAAATATTCTTTAAAATTTCATATGATGGTTAAGCTTCAAGCCTCTTTTATACTTATATTTATGAATTTATGTATGGTACCTGTAAAGAGAAAAATTTCTTGGCGGCTTCAATATTGTTGCGGCCCACTTGTCTCAATTCGAGGATTCGTACTATCATCTCGCCGCGGCGCTCCACCGCCTGAAATATAATAAGAGTTCATTTATTTATAGAAAACGCTTCTGATAGTACTCTCTTGAGAAACGGAAGGCAATCAACTTCTTATTGATAGCTCTTAAAGCTTATTGTTATGATTATTATTAAACCAAATGGCTAATCAAACCAAAAGATATTTAATACTTTGACTCGTTATTCTACGTGTCTCTCTGACTACCTTCGAGATATCTCTCATTTTTTGCATCTATATTCTTAACTATACGTTCATTTATTTATTAATAAACTACTTTCTTGCGACCTCGCCCGCGTATATTATATATGATGTAGCTTCCTATGATAAAAGAATTTTCATGATCAGATAAGTATTTTCGAGAATTCAGGTGGATAGAATAACCTACAAATGAACAAACTTTACGTCTTTATAAAATTAGTATAGATTTATAAGTAAAAAAATATTATAATATACGTTTTAAGTACAAATAGAAAAACGCTCTGATATCAACTAATGTTTATTAATATTTGTAAGTAAAAGCACTAACGACCTTTCAGGTTACATAAGAATGCAGTCACACATACGAGCGGTTTGCACAAAAATAATTAGTTTCTAACCAGATAATAACATATATAGCCACTATGCAAATTAATACAAAAACATCGTACAATTTTAAAGTCATACAATATTTAATATTTGTTTTATTTTGAAGTAACTATTTATGAAGCTTTATTATATAATTCAAGACTTGCCTCGAGCGCCGCGGCTGTAGTCGAATCATGGTCATTCTCAACCATTTCAATCTGTCTGAAGATTTCATTGCTCACACCTGACACCTGGAAAGAAACCTATGATTAATAATTACTTTTACTGGAAGCTCATTAGTCTAGATTAGTATATTGCAATGTAGATAGAAATAAAGAACTATATTTTGATTATAATCAAATGGTCCATTGAGTCATTTTCAGAAGTCCCCACAGTTAGACTATAGAATACAACATACTGTTTTGTTGCTTTTAGAATCGTAACAATAATACGGCACGAAATAAATTGAAATTGATATCTACGTTCCTCTACCTCTATTGTTGAGTCATGTGGGTAAGTGTGCATTGCGGGAAGCTGAGCATATAGCTAGTGATTTAAAGAATTGAAAACAGATCTGCATCAACCCTCAGTATCTCGTCAGACACAGAAGACGACGCCCGAGTTTCCTAGGTACGAGTACTTTAGCAATCTGTCACACAGTTCTTTAATCGTTTTCTATTTTCCAGAGTATTTGAGTATAGACTGGGTGTGGTTGAGATAATTTGTAAAATATTTTCAACCGTACCATAGTAAAACCAAATAGTACGGACACTCGAGCGACAATAGCCTAAACTCGTGGAGCTCAGACATGCATATATACAAAACATTTTTTTCCTGTTGGTTAAGCATCAGGGATCTGTAAACCTTTTATTAACTATTTTTATATTTAGACCATGAGCTGATTACATTTTTTCATTATCAATGTAATTTGTTTAGTCTTTCGAAAAATTACGCTTGAAAACGATTAGTTACCGTACTCAGTTTCCCCTGCAACATAGAATTATACATAGTCTTAGTTGAAATTCATATTATGGAGAATGGGCAAATCTACTACCTTCTAGGAGTATATATTACTCCTGTAGAACCCCTAACTAAGTTAACCTTTGCTAAGTATCTGTGTAATAATATGAATTTTGACTAATACTAAATGCAGTCTCAGCGTAAATTTACTTCAACGCTAAACCTTAACACTGTAGCAGAATTGACCCGTAACCATTTACAGAATTGGAATGCTGTTGATCTGTAATATGCGATTGAAATTTCTCATCAACTCCTTCGGCTGTTACCTTGCGGAAGTCTGGCTGCAGCACGCAGGGAGGTGCGTGATTGGCGCGCGGCGGCTGCGGCAGACCGGGCGGCGCGCGGCCCGGCGACGCCGTCAGGTCCGGCGCCGCACGGCCGTTCTCCTAATGAAAAAAGATAAACGAGTCCTATGTATAAATTCTGAAGTATAATCTAATATCAAAATCAATGTTGTGATTTGCGCCAACGATTAGTTCTTGTATTGTCTGTTCCTTTTTACCCGACTGCAAAGGAAAGGTTATGTTTTTCGCGCGTATATTGTATGTATGTAATATTCTTTATTATCTCATATCTTCAGAACCTGTAGAGGATAATTGCTGCGGCCCGCGATCGTTGTTGTTAAGCAACTTTCGAAAGGGTCGGTCACCGGATGGGTGACCAAAAATAAAAAATATTCTCTTGAGCTACTACGTGCTTCGGGAGGCACGTTAAGCCGTTGGTTCCGGCTGCATTTGCAGTCGTTAATACCCTCCAATCCACATTGGGCCAGCGTGGAAGGTCATGGCCCATCCTCCTTAACCATCCATAAGGAAGGCCTGAGCCCCTGCAGTGGGGACGTAAAAGGGCTGGTGATGATGATGATGATCTTCAGAACCGCTGAACGGAATTAGATTATTGAAGTATCGTTAGATTTATCTCAATAGCTCAATCGTTCTTAGATAGATAACATAAAAAATAAACAAATATGGTGGCTCTGCGAAGCCATTATATTTAATTATAACATAAAAAAAAGGTTTCCAATACTACAATATTCGTATCTAATTAAAGGGCTACATACAAGGATTTCAAAAAGGTAGGTATATAATGATTTATCATTACTGTAATACTAATCAAAATACTCGATACAATGAAAAAGTTCAGTACATGTTATGTATTTTTTTTGTTATTATTTTCCAGCATTTTCAGTTACTTGTTTTTATTGTCTAATTATGGCAAACGGTGCTTGTGGCAAAATTATTAAAACAATATACTACAATTATATTTTGGAAAGACCTATCCAACAATACCACTATGGGGAAGACGAAAAAACAATATCATCTCCACTTTACATGAAGGGGAGGTACTCTAAAAATTTTTTCTTTCAAGATTTTATTTTACCACTTTGTCGGCGTTATTAACATGTATACTTATGCCAAATTACAATTTTCTAGTAAAAACAGTTTTTGAGCTTAACCGCGGATGGACAGGCGGACATGGCGAAACTATAAGGATTCCTTATTGACTATGGAACCCTAAACTACCTTCCTCCACCTTGATACGATTTTGCATGAACGATGGAAAATACAATATTTGTTCCTACAGGACATTGCGATATTTATTAATGTATATAACATTCAGAGGAATTCGTTTTGTGAACCCTGAAGATGCTATATTTCAATAATGCGAGTTAAATATATGTAAAAGAAGAGTGGGCTGCTTCAGTCTATCTTTCTGTTGCAGACGACGGCAAAATGAAAACAACGGAGCTTTTCAATAAGCCACAAGAATATTGAAAGGTTTCTACATTTTTCAGATTTCAGGTTGAAAGTGTCGGTTAAAATGCCCTGAAATGATATCTTAAGATAATATATCGCTCTCCATACATTCCAATGGCCCTACACGGTTAAGAAGATATCATATTAAGTATCTTAAGATGTGAAGCGATATGGAAATATATATTTCGCAGGTTAAGATGGTATCATAAGATACGAAATATTATAAGCATATTATCGTAATCTCAAGCAGATGTGATATCTTAAGATGTTAAAATATGTTTTTAAGATATCTTACGATGAAATCTTATGGTATCTCAACCGACTGTTATGAGCTTTAATCTTCTAAATACTTTCATTGTGACCCACGCAAACTTTCTTAATTGGTAATTCCGTATATTACTGAAAGCTGTATGAGAATCATATCCATTATATATTTTCCTTTACGCGTATTATTTTAATTCATCGCGTTTATAAATAGACAAAGGACATTTGAGAAATTGTTTTTTTTAATATGAAAATATTATCTTTCAAAATTAAATTCGACGTTAGCATTTATTCGTAAACTTATGTGACACTTGAAATTGTTTACGTACCGGGCGCTATATTATACACGGTTGTTGTATGGGAACCCCTTTAAATATTTATTTTATTCTGTTTTTTAGTACTGTTTGTTATCAAAAAAAAAAAAACTATGGCGGGAGACCTTGTACTGAGAAGAACCGGCAAGAAACTCAACTTATAGCAGCAACTTGAACAGTTCATAAGATAGAACCTGGTGACAGACGGAAAGACAAATCACGGTTCTTAAGATATGGTAACAGACTGACAGAAAGACAGACAACGAAGTCTTAGTAATGGGTACCCGTTTCAAGCATGGGTGAGGAACCCTAACAAATACAATGACATTGTAGTGATAGTGTACCTTACTTATCATTAGCTAAGTAGTGTATTTAGTAACACCAAAAAGATATATATTGAGTAAAATTGACTCATCAAAAATGAATGATGAGCTTGACGTCGCCATGATTGATGGCGATAAGTATCGATAAATGTTACCACGACATCATTAAGAGGGCGCTCACATCAAAATCACTAACTTTCAACTGTTTTTAGTTAAAGAAAAAACCCCCAAATATGCTGTAAATAAAAATGATAAAATCACATAATTTTTCTAAATGCTTTGTCAGAGTCGAAATGTGAATATATAAAATTATTTCGACAGAAAAAAAATTACAATGTCGTATTCACCATTTCTTTAATTTCAGTTTGTCATCAACACGGCTAAAAGCCGAGAGCATTATGCAGCACATTTACAATAATTGTAATAGTTTTTGAGTGATTAATTCAATATTTTGCCACGCAACTCGCTATCATCTGTCTAGATCAATTTCTTTCTATTGATATCTATACTAATTTTAAAAAAATTCGACTGTTTGCATCGAATAAACTCCGAAAATACTGGACTGATTTGATTTGAAATATGACAAGGCTATAATTAACGTGGAAAAACAGCTTTAAATAAATCTTTAAAAAAACCTCTTTGGTTACTAGGTCTCGACCTTCTTCAACAAAATGAACTGAGAAACTAAACTGACTACAATTTCAACGAGTTCTGTAAAATCATTTACTATCATCATCATCCTCAGCCTATTAATGCCCCCAGTATTGGGGCTCAGGCCCTATGGATGAAATCGAATCAAACAAAGAAACGGGCTATGACCCACCACGCGGATACAGTGCGGACTGATAGGTATTAACGACTGCAGATTCAACTGGGACCAACGGCTTAACGTGCCTTCTGATGCACAGAGGAGCTCGAGATAATAAAATTTTGATCACCCATCCTATGACTGGCCATTACGAAATTTGCTTAACAACCGTATCGCAAACCGAGCGCGCCAACCATTGCGCCATCTCGCTCAAGTTGCAAAGGCTCAAAATTCACTGTTCAATTTAACATTTTAAAACTACAATAAATAAATAAAAATGTAAAGAGACACGACTTTTACAACTTAATTACAATAATTAAAAACCGGCCAAGTGCAAGTCAGACATCCCGCGCACGAAGGGTTCCGTATGATTAACTATAAAAAAATGCAACAAAACAAATAACCACTTTAGTTATTTCCATAGCATTCTGATGTGGGGTATGACTGCAGATATAAAGTCGTATTTATTTTACAAAAAAGAGCAGTAAGGGTTTTTTATCAGTTGGGTTCAAGAACATCACTTACATAAACTGTAAAGAAATTGGGATATTAACAGTGGCCTCTTAATTCATATACAATAGTATACTTTTTGGTAGAAAAAATACTAACGATTACGTTAAGCATAGTCATGTACACAATTTTAATACTAGAAACAAAGATAAACTTGTTTTGCCGTCATGCAGGCTAAAGAAGGTTCTATCCACATTTATGGGTCAAGGTACTATAACAAAATTCCTACGGAAATTTTAAATTTACCATTGCCTAAATTTTAAACCTATATTAAGAATTGTCTACTCAGTAAAGGATATTATACTGTAAATGAATATTTAAACGACAAAACTGCTTGGTGTTAAATATGGCTTATTTTTATGTATATTGATTAAATTATTTATAGGTGAACTTGTTTGAGTAGACATGTATTTGATTCGATTGACGTAAATACTCTTTTACTTTTATATTTTCTAATATTTTAATGGAAAGTGACTTCATATTTCAATGTAGTCATTTTTCAATCTTGACGCTCTGTATGAAATAAAACAGGGAGAAAAAAGCAGCCCTTGCCGAGTTTCTTGCCGGTTCTTCTCAGTACAAGGTCTCCCGCCGTAGATTTACGAACCGATGGCGTAGCTCTCGACTTTCACAAGTGCTTGTAACAGCCTACACTGAATAAATAATTTTGATTTTAATCGTGAAATGATCGGTTTAAAAAAACAACAAACTGATAAGTTTCCAATTTTATGTCTAGCCCTATTTTCATCATCACACATCCTTTTTTGAAGTCAAATTGACGCGTACACGTAAGTTCCGATCAAAGGGAAGAGTTGCCAAAGTCACAAAAAGGGGACTCAACACGAACGTTCGTTAATAATGAAGTTTCTATTTAATTTCGTCTCGTTTAAATATAGATTCAACTTTTGCATATCTTGAACTCGCTCTTTTGATGTCACAATTATTTATTTTTGATACTAACGGGAGAAACTTTGAAGTTAACGGACACGCCCTTCTTATAAAATAGACTAACTCTTAAAATCCTGTAATTTCTTATTGTAGATTTACAATTATTATTCTTAATACAAAATGCTTAAAAAACCACTTGGTCCCTGGCATTTTGTATTGAGAATAATTTTCAGAATGGCATTGTGAATGCAAAATTAATCAAAATATAATAATTACAATTATTATCTCAGTTAACCAAACGTTTTATGGTAGTAAAACTACGGCTAATTTAATTAAAACCATTCCTTTATTGGCACTTGCATGCAGTGTAGACTTTAGTAACAATTAATTTATGTCGGAAACTTTAAAATACTGTCAGTGGTGACCAAGACGAGGGACATCGCTTTATGACAATGACCTACTTGTGAGTAACATTTTAAGGAAACTCTTTGCGAATGCGTTAAAATTTGGCGGTCGATCGGTGAGGTGCCGGGCGTGGGTAGGAGGGGGCCCTGACCTAGTTCCCTCCCCGCTGTCTCCATCCCTCGCGTACGCACGGGGTCACTGTACTGCAGCTGCAACGGAATACCGCAGAGGTGACTGACTCTGAATGCGTTCTTCTCGACGTCGGCACTTGCATGTGCTAATATCATCCATATACAAAATTGCACTTGTTCTAACCCTGAATACATCACTGCAGTCCATTTCATTGTTAAGCCACAGACAAAATGGCATGCTATCTATTCGTATCGTAATCGTAATTTTTGAATGAAAAATATATTTTATTGATCGGCCGAGATCATAGTCGAGTGTGTTACCTTTGCCCTACTTAGGCTTACGTCTATCTGTAACTCCTTCGTGCATGAGTAACCATCACAAAGCTATCATTTATTATTCAACCTCCGGACGTTTATAAAGGCAGAACGGAAAAAATCTCAATGCGCGCCAATCTTTCATTGCCACCAGCGGTATTCATTCGGTACCGTAATAACGCCCCACAAAAAAAGGAATGTAACTGAAACAAAAAAAAAACGATTACGGTCCCACCCCGTACGTGATTTTTCCGACTTTTTGGCTGTTGTTTTGTGAACCAATTACACTTCCTAACATGACCGCTCACAGAACATGACTGATTCGGAGTTAACAATGCGAATCGTGTCCTATTACAAAAGCTCAGAGGTTATTTTGAATCAAATTTTAACATTCATATATTCAGCTTTAACATACAGTCGGAGTAACATATTTCCTATTGTTTGTCATGCGATATTTATGACCTTACAGATTTGGAACAATCAAATAGAAAGCATTGATATCGGACATTATGACTGTCCAACCCACTTTATTTCTTGTCTTCTCTTAACAGAGATCTATGAATATTTCAAAAAGCCATTCAAGGTTTAAATCTTATGAAAATGCAATAATCCGCATGTGACATATGATTAAAGTTTCTATAACCCATCATCCATCATCAGCCTTCTACTGAGCTGAAAGCAATAAGACAAAAGCCACTATCCAGGCCCAGCGTAAATCGGAAGATACTAACTAGAGCAGATGAAACAGAATCAGCGCAGTAAAGACACATTAAATAGCTGATATAGTTTTTGGTGATACGTATAATAAAATATCACAGCGAAGTTGTATAAATTTGTACGTCCACTTTGACGCACGCACGCAACATCCGAAAGAGAGAAGTAATTAATTGAGGAATCTTAATGATTTTCATTCAGTCATCGATTACGTTAACATTTCCTATCTAACATTCGATCTTGCAAATAAGCAGCGGTCCGAATAAAATAAAAAAATCGAAAGCCTCATTTATAACATAACTCTAAAAATAAACCATGGCGGTGCTCCAGATCGTTAACTTGTAAACGTCCATCAAAATTATTTATTCAACGTTCCACAGTAGCCCTAATAATATCTACTATTACACACTTATACTTTACAGCAGACTTGTAACGAATAATGTCTCCAAGAACAGGCAGAATACCAAATATTCTACGAGATTCTTGATCGCATGGGTAAAGTCAAAGTCAAAATAATCTTTATTCAAATAGACTTCTAGAAAGTACTTTTGAATCGTCCAACATTTTTTTCCCTACCACTCGTTCAGGACGTCTTTTGGCTGAAAAGAAGAATGAGCAAGAAACTCACCAACTCTCATAGGAGTAATGTGACATTCGCAAAAAAACATGTCATTACCAGATTATAATGATAACATAAACATTTAATAATAATGGAAACAAGTTGCTGGAACATCTTAAGTCCAAGCATATAATCGGATACCTTATAATAAGCTTTTTAATAGTAAATTTAAACTGCAAGATACGTAATTGTTGTATTTTGCTTGGGACCTTATTGTAGAAGCGCACACAAAGACCCCTGAATGAGTTACTAACTTTTTGCAGTCTAGTGACATGCACCGTTAATTTATTTTTATTTCTTGTATTAAAATTGTGCACATCACTTTTTATAGAAAACTAACTAACTAATATTTTTACGAACGTACATTAACTTCTCGTATATTTATTGAAAAGCAACAGTTATTATGTATATTTCCTTAAACTTCTCCCTTAAAGAGTCCCTAATCCTAAGATTTTAAATTGATCTAATTGCTCTTTTCTGAGGCACACAAATCGTTTGTATGTCGGCAGCATTTCCCCACAATAGGATTCCGTACGATATTACACTATGAAAGTAACTGCAGTCTACTACTCTAGCAGTATCTATATCAGTTAACCTACGTATCTTCATTACGGCATATGCTGCAGAGCTAAGTCTATTCGACAATTTATCAATATGTGGGCCGCACTGTAGTTTAGAATCTAATGTTATTCCTGAAAATACTGTGGTATCCACAAGGCCCATGTTCTTATCTTTTACAATTTACATTTATATCTACTTTTTTTAACATTAGGAAGTACAAATTTTAGGCATTTTATTTTTCCTCCATTAGGGAAATGAAAAAAATCTATTTAGTCGGTTAATAAGCATTAAATTTGAGGAGTGGGAGCTGGCTGCGTCACAACAACCATACAAAGATGTGACGTTATACGACATTTCAACTCAATGTATCACTGTAATTTATTGATTACGAAAAAAATCTTTTTTAATATTCTTCAATAATCTGTTTCACGATAAACAAAAATAAACTATATAGACTTTTTTTTTTTAATTTTTAAATGGTGCTAATCCGAACACTGGATATTCGACGAAGACTTACATCGATGTTGTAAAAAAATTAGAATTACGAAAGAAATAATTGATTTTAGAGTCAGTAGTCCTATTCTGTCAAAATAAACATCGTCGACCTCGACATCGAGCGCAGCACAGGGACGTTATAGAGCATCAATTAAATTTAATCATTATTATCTTTTGAAGTAGCTTTTACTTAATTGAACCTCTATGACGTGACAGCGTTGAGATCGACGACAATTTAAGACTAAACATAAAAGCTAAATTAATTAAGTTTACGAACTATATATTAGGCAATTTCATGTAGACATTATTTTGTATTTGTATTATTAAACGTTTTTCTATTAAGACAAATTATCTTACTATATGCAAATACGTTATTAATATATGGCGATTTTCAGCTGAAAAGCAACTTTAAATTCATTAATTGGCTGAAAAAGATGAAACTTCATTCTCCTAAAATGCATTCCACTTTTACCAACATCGTGACAAATGTCTAATACTCAAAATCACTGCCGAGAATGGACCAATCCGGTTTATCTCAAATTAAACGCTCCTAAATATCTATTTAGTTCTCAGCTTCAAAACGTGACATGCCTTTAAATAATGGTACTAAGTAAGCTTAGACTTGAAATGGGTTGAACGATATTTTAGAGCATGACCTGCAAACACATAAAGTTATAACTAAGTATAATAATATATTGTTTTAAATTGTAATTGATGGCAAACTATGTATAAACACGTTTTATTTTATTTTTATTTTTTCTAGCGGTCATCCAATTATTGGCATATTGTATATTGCGAATGCACATTGGGTACAATATACCTTTGCATAACTTGGCAATAATAAAAAAAATACTTTAGTAACATAAGACATGTTATGTCAAAAAATATTTCTTTTCTATTCAAACAGCTTTTGAAAGTAGTTTTAAAGCAGAATGTATTAGGCTTGGTTCAGTCCAAACCTTATCCCGTTTTAATTTTAAAAATAAAGGAAAATTCGTTTGTGTATAGTATACGAATAAAGCTACCTATAACTCATTAGTGTAACGCTTAACTCCTTTTTATATGTTAACTAGCTTTCTGCCAGGGGCTTCACCTGCGTACTCCCTAGGGAACTGTTTTTGAATATCTATTCCTAGATCTAGATGACGCGACAATAACAATTTGAATAGTAAACAATGGTTACTATAGAAGATTTTTAATTCCCTTTACAAACTTTCACTCCCATTTTCATCCCTTTATTTGATGTATGAGTTAAAATATAGCCAGTCAATCAAGTACCTCGGTGTTTCTGTTGAAAAGGTCGAAACGAGGATACTAAAGAGGTTTATTAAAAATTTGTTTAATTTAAATTTTAGCAACTTTCGCAAGGGTCGGTCACGGGATGGGTGACCAAAAAATTAGTATCTCGAACTACTCCGTGCTTCGAAAGGCACGTTAAGCCGTTGGTCTCGGCTGCATTTGCAGTCGTTGATACTCTCCAATTCAAATTACGCCCTCGTGGAGGGTCATGCCCATCCTCCTTAACCATCCATAAGGAACGCCTGAACCCCTGCAGTGGGCTGATGATGATGATGACTACTCTTAGGAGAAAGAATTTTTAAAATCGGTCCAATACTTTCGGAGCTAATTCGTTACAATCAAAACGATCAAATCTTTCCTATTTATAATATTAGTATAGACATTTGATATTCTGTGGTACCGAAGCTTTGTGGCATCCAGTAACATTAACTTATTACTGAACCAACAATCTTAAATATCAGCAATCTTTATCTTCCTAATTAAGAATCAACTAGCTTATTTTTGTATTTTCTCTGCCTTAATTAATATTACAGCTAAATCTTTTTCGTAACATCTGCTAATTACTTAATTATTTTTTTCTTGACCATTTCGCTCAGTTTTTAATTACTTAATGACAAGACATTGTGCTTGGGCAAGCTTTTGAGCAAATTACTTTTATTCTCTTTGATAATATAAAAATACTAATCTTGAAAAAATCCTGTGGTGTTCTAATTTGTTCTTTGTTTATAATCCTCTTTAGTTTATAATGATTTTCTTTTATATCTTATTATTAAAAATCTAGTTCAAACAAGGTTTCAGTTTCAAATCGTTACATTGTTGAGAAAATGTCTCATTAATGTTTCTTTATAAGCACTACGGGAAGCAATTTTACCTCTCATGTCAATTAAAACCTCGCGAGCACATGAAATTTCTGGAGCGAAACAACTCGACCTATAGCAACGAAGATATAAACATATGAATCCATACTTAAGACGTAAGACTTCTTAATCATTTGAAAAAGGTACGTAAAATCTAAATAAGACTTGAATCACTGGTATTATTCGACTACAAACGAAAACAATTTGAATAAGTTTATCTTAAAGAAAAATATCAATATAGTTTTGTTAACTGCAAAATTGATGACATAAAGTAATTGTTTTTTTTTTTATTAGTAGCGTCTAGTTTTATATTATATACTAGCTGTTTTCCCGCG